GATGTGGGTTTGTATGGTCACGAGCGTCTATGACGCGGGTGATTTTTACCCTCGTGGAACTCAGGCGCGAGACTTGAGGGGCATCTTGAAATGACTAGTGTGTCACGAGAAGTCCCACGCCACAGCGCGCACTCCGCGCGTTTCACTGCCACGGCACAGCAGCTCAGGGATTCACGTGGGGTGGTCAAAATCCCACAGCCGTGCGGAAATGACACAGTACCGTCACGTCACGCGAGAGGGCACTGACTAGAGAGAGGGGGGAAAAGCAGCGGAGAGAAACACGGACAACAGTTACCCGTGGACAAATCCACTGGATTTAATAACGTGACCATGGCTAATGCCTCCTAACCTGCACACGGCTGCCCGGAGTCGAAAAGGTGAGTTTGATTTCCGCCGCGCAGGTAGTTTATGCGCGCCGTGTTGCGGGAGACGGAGCGAAAACTCATCGGTGGATGTTTTTCTTGCCGTGTCACGCATGAGGGAGAGTTGCGCACGGAGGAGGTAGGGAGGGGAAACACGAGAGAAGGGCAGCACTCCGTATTACAGCAAAGAAAAAACATAAAGAGTACGTTATTTTCGTAAGACATGCAGTCCACAGATGGAACGCAGTAGGGAGCCGCTTGTCAGTCTGTCTCCCCGGTTATAGCGATCCGTGGGGTTTCCACTGGAAGAATGAGGAAGTGGAGCCGGTGGACGGGGGTCGGTACGGTGAAGCAGCGCCTCTCTGGTGCTCTGGCGAGACTTCACGGTGCAAGACATGAAAAACAAATAGAAAAACAACCTCACAGAACTTCACCGAAGAGAGAATTCACTCTGAGAATATAGTTTTACGCGCATCATAATCTTCACACGCTTGCCATGACATTTGTGACCAGTCATTTGTAATACTGACTTCACTGTGTTTCAGCAGGCCAAGTGCTTCCTCTTTTTAAAACAAATTATTATACATAAAGATTTTGTCAATTTAGCAGTCAGATATTGACTGACAAGTGTAAGGGAGAAGTGCATAAGAAATGTATGTGGTCAGATTAGATGTGTGACTATCAAATAATATCAGTAATCAGTCATGGGTCTTGTGTGTCTCTTCCCAGGACATGAGCTCTTCTGTGTGCATGGTTAATGCAGACGGACAAGTGCCTGATAAAAGTATGTAAATAACGATTCACACTAAAATCATTCTCATCTTTCTTTGCCTTTAGTGAACTTAAATTAAACATCACAATATCTCTGTATAGTAACATGCATCACATCAAAATTAACACAGTCCAAATCAAACTATCCCGTGAAATGAATTGACTCACCTTAGGATCAAATGGAGATGTTGCCAACAATAGTGAAAAAGCATGAAACGAGCATACAGTATGTACACATTCACAACACCTCAAGGAACATGTTCAGTATGCCTGATATCAATATGCAGTATCAAAGGTCACTAAACACTTTAAGTGTAACACTTCACACACAAACCAGTTTATAGAGGTTCGCCAACAAAAATAACTGCTTGAATTCTTGTCAAAACATAGCATTTGTAAATAATAAAAAGTAAAATGGTAAAAGGGTCACAGGAGATGCATGTTACTGCCAGTTGTAATTGTCTCAGCTGATCATTTGTGATCAGATCAACTGAGCCAGATTTTTATACCAGATGTAAATTAGACCAATGGGTTCTGTCTCATTAAAGCTGTACAGAGTTGTGAGATGATGTCTGTCAGCATTCTTGAATGGTTATGAACAATTGGCTTTTTCTCCAGAAGTTAAAGTTGAGAAAGATGCAGAGGATGTTATTAAAAACACGGAGGGAAAGATGGAGAGCTTCTTTAAGCGCATTACAAAACGATCAGCAACAGACACAGGCCCTGAGGTGGAATGGCCCACTAGCGGGAAGAGGGTCAAGGTGACAACACAGGTAAGATGAAATGCCTGTAATGAAAAGGAACATTTGTTACAATCACAACATTGATTCTTCTACTGGTTAAACATTGTATTTGGGATATAATTTGCTAAATAACAGGCTACATCTGGCTTGACTTAACTTTTGGTAAAAACTATTAAAAGCAACATGTCACACTTACTTTCCAGGCTGGAGAACATCTTGACAACAGTTCAGATAATGGAAGCAGGTCATGTTCTCACAGCCACAGATTATCTCCACTGGAGCAGATTCCCATCTCTTCATACAGGAAACCACTCTACAGCATCACACATCGCATTTCTGAGCGTAAAGCTGCATCCAATCTGGACCAGAATGGAGCCCACAATGGAGTCAGAGAAAGCCATAATGGTGTCCACTTCCAAAAACTGGGCAACTCTAGAAAGCATCACATGTTTAAGGCCTCCCCTAATGTGGGGGTCACAGGGTCTCCTGCTGCCTTGGATTCTCACCTCTACCCGCTCATCGAGAAGATGTTCTTCCTCCTCAACACGCTGAATTCCAGCATGACCCAGCTGCACAGTAAGGTGGATTTGCTCTCGCTTGAAGTGACGCGCATCAAAAAGCAGATGAAGCCCTCTGAGATGGTCATGGAATTTCAACCTCCTCCTGAATACCAGCTGACCAGCGAAGAAATCACCCAGTTGATGGAGCAAGTGTCCACTGCGGGAGATCTTGGCTGCAGACTCCTTGTTCAACTGTTCCCAGAACTTTTCTCAGCAAAAGAATGCACGCATGGCTGCAGCACATGCAGCCTTACAACCGAACGGACTTTAGATTCATTGCACCTTCAGCTAATACGTAACTATGTGGAAGTCTGCTACCCATTGGTGAAAAATGAAAATGTCTGGCAGACAGAGTGCTTGCTGCAGATCAATGATTTCTTGAATCGTTTCTGGGCTCAGAAGGACATGGAGAGTGGTCAGATGTGTGACAAAGAGCCTCCAATGGTTGTCGGGTTTGACATGGAACCGAATCATGCTTGCCATTTCATCAGTGAAGATGCCCAGGATGAGAATCTTTCCCTCAACTCTGGAGAGAACAATTATGTTCGTCCCAACAATGTCATTTCAGATGTAGTATATGACCAACATGAGGCCACTGGTGACGACTCTGAAGACTTGACATCGCCAGAGGAGCTTGTCGTGTTTTTGTTGAACAGACTCTTTCCAGAGGTGTTTGAGGAGGGCAAGTTGCCGGAGGGCCACAACAGCATTGGACAGCTGATCATTGACTCAGACAGACTAGAAATTATACGTAAATACATGGAGGCCAATTTCCCTGATATCCCGGAAGAAACCTGGCTGCAGCTGTGCGTGCAACGAATGGAGGAAGCACTGGAGAATGCTTCAGTCAATGGCAGCAGTCGTGACAACCGAGAGATGTACGATACCACACATCTCCCTGATAGTATCTCCATTGTTAAGATCAGTGACCTGTGCGATTACGAGAAACCAAATCGCAGGTCTAAGAAATCATGTCTGGAGCCTGTGGATTTTGACAAACTGGAGATTCCTCCTCCAGGCTTTGATGTTCCTCAGGAGTATTTACTTACTAAGGAACAGCTAAAGAATAACTATGAAAGCAGTTTATCAATTGGGAACTTTGCATCTCGACTCCTGGTTCTCATGTTCCCTGAGCTCTTTACTTATGAGAATGCACGAAAATACTATAACTGCAGTGGCTCTCTAGGAAAGAAACGGCTGGATCCCCTACGAATCAATCTCATCCGACATTATGTCCAGCTGCTTTACCCACAAGCTAAGAACGACCGCGTGTGGACCCTTGAGTTTGTTGGCAAACTTGATGAGCGCTGTAGGCGACGGGATACTGACCAACGGCGATCATACCAGCAACAACGGAAGGCCTGTTCACCTGACCAAGAGCCTGACCCAAAAGACTCGCTGCTAACGGCTGGCCAAATCAATGTTCTCGCTTTAGATCGTCTGAAAGAGGACTTTGAAGTCCTATCTTCACCCCTGGAGAAGAGCAGCAAGGACTTCTGCAAAATTCCTCTTGAGGACCTTTCGGTGTCCACCCCAGACTTCCCAGTGCCTTCTGAGTACCTGCTCACGGATGCTGAAGTAAGGGAAATTGTCCAACAGAGTCTGTCTGTGGGAAATTTTGCTGCTCGCCTTCTTGTCCGTCTCTTCCCGGAACTTTTCACACAGGAACATTTACGGCTGCAGTACAACCACTCTGGGGCCTGCAACAAGAAACAGCTGGACCCTGTGCGTCTCCGACTTATTCGTCATTATGTGGAGGCCGTCTACCCAGTTGACAAAATGGAGGAAGTGTGGCACTATGAATGCGTGCCAAGCGTTGACGAGCGCTGCAGGCGCCCCAATCGCAAGAAATGTGACATTCTAAAGAAGGCAAAGAGATCAAACAACACTGTGACTTATTCTTAGACAATGTTCCTGCAAATTGCAGACCTGTTTTCTTAATAATTTACACAACATACCTGTTATTTGCACAAGTCCATAAGCTGAAGCATACTGAAACCTGTTCTTGTTTAAGGTCTAGTTCGGCTGGTCGAGTTCACGCCCATGGCCTTTAAATGGTTTAGTAGGTGACAGAAAGTTGGTGATTGAAGCCACTATCACATGACAGTGAAATATTAGTGTTACTATTTATATGCCAAAATATGATTGATGTTATTCTAATGTCTAATTAATAGATAAGCTAAAGTTAGCCTTAATCAACTGAAATGTAAACATTTAGTTCTTTAAAAATAATAGGTCACTTTAGTTTGGGGTGAGAGCAGAGAAGATATATAAATGTTTTTTTTTTTTGTTTTTTTTTAGCAATGTTGCAGCACTGGCTTTTTCTAATTATCAACATATTGAAGTATGTCCTGCCTTACAGGAAGTAAATCTTATTCATTTGTACTTAACTATAGCACCAGGTTATATGTTAAATATTTTTAAATAAAAATTCACTTCCTGGCCAAGATGGGTTTCATGTTCCTTTTTATTTTACTTCAGATACACAAGTGAGGGTCATTAGGAGCCTTTTATCTTCAGAGAAAATAAAATAAAAAAAAAACCTAAGGGAAGACAGATTATTTTTTCTTTGATGTTTATTGAGATTAAATTTGTGTTGTTTGTATATTCCACCACTGACCATTATAATGAAGAAAAAAAGAAAGAAATACAGTTTGGAAACTATTTGTGTGGGTCTGACTCATTAATCTTTTGCATAAATGCTGTGTAAAAACCTTTTAATATTTATTTTTTGTTTGTTTTTGTCTGGCTCTCTTAGTGCAGCTGTATGCAAAGGCACTCTGAAAACTGCTCATTGAAAATCTACCAATGTCATAAAGACAATGGTAAAAACTAAATAAGGTATCATAAACAAGGAATCAGAAAACAACTGATTTCCCAAATACTATCTGATTCATCTCACAATGTTATTTTGTGAGTCTAGTAAACATAAAAATAAAATATTGCATATAACCAAAACCACCTCTAAACAATATGATGTTTTTGTGTTCCATTTGTGACCTGTAAAGTTAATAAAAATAATCTTTAAGTAGTATGAAACAGTTATGAACTACTGTTAAGTGAATAGATGTGAAAAGGACCTTCAGTTTTTGTTGGGCATTGAAAAACTCATTAACTCCTCAATCTGCAGTTTCAGAATCAAATGGTTGGAGAGTGGAATAGGAAATATCAGTTCTGTCCCATTTTCTGATCTTTCACCTCTCATACACATCACAGAATTGGTCTTTACTGCTTGTACACATCCTTTCTGGGAAGTTGTAGGTGTTTCCAGCATCTTAGAATGACTCTCTGCTTTTCTGCGTCTTTTGTCTCTCCAACCACCTTTTTTAAGATCACTCTCTTCAGCAAGACTGTGTCCATTTCTTTGTCCTCATTTAGGATCAGATCCAGTGTATCCCCCACTTTAACCTGTAGGAGGGAGCAGACCACGGACTGTTAAATTAAGGTGCCATTTCTGCTTATACTAACCGGTACTCAAGATTAATTAAGTAATGGCAATACTACCACAAGCGGGGTAGTTTTTTTTTTTTTATTGCATCCATAATTTGTTCAGCTAGTGTTCGATATTTTCGAGGAAAGTTCTTTCTGATTATACCACTAGAGGGTGCTGACTCACCATTTTGCTCTTCTTGGTGAGTTTCTGACCATTCAGTCTCAATTTGAGGTTATAGAAAGCATCCTCCACAGCACTATAAAACAGATACATGTGTTAGTCACTGCCACTGGCCAAAATACCACAAACTAAATGTACAGCCTGAGATAAAGGAGAGCAATATGAGCAAAGATTATACGAACGCCATCAGTCCATTCTCTAATCGGGTTCTATGAGGTAAAACTGAGTTACATCTGCAATTGGAACTGAAAACTCAAATTTGCAACTCACCAGTGTGGCAGAATTAATCTCTGAACATGATGAACAGTTTCTCTGACTTACTTTCGTGCAATGTCCAATCCGGTCTTCAAAACCAGATCGAAACGTAGAGATTGGACAGTTTTCTCATGGTCTTTATAGTCTTTTGGCAGGCCTGGGTCATCTGGAAGCTCATCCTCATAATCACTAGCCTCTGCATCTTCCTGTTCCTCCTCCTCCTCCTCCTGCTGCTGCATTGCTTTTTGCTTCCCTTTTTTTCTCGTGCTCTTGAGCCGGGCCTGATGGAGCGACCAGCTCTGCCGAGTGTCCCATGATCTTGGCCACATAGCTGTACGGTGTGTTTGGGGAGTGACTGAACCCCACAACTGACGCGCGTGTAATGTTCGCGGGCACCACATGCTGAGACCAGAGGCATGGCATGGTGTGAGCAGCTGGAGGGAGTTCAGTCGGCCTAGCTGCCGCAGGGCCAGTGCCTGCACTGACAGATTCTGCATACTGTGACACTGAACACAGACACAAGAGAAAAAGAGCAGAGAAAAGGGGTAACATGCATGCACACTTTTCATTCTTCAAAGTCATCAAGTGCCTAGACTCAGCTCTAACTGCTCTGTAAATTTTAGAAACCAACTTCAAGGTGTGTGCCCTGGAATGCTTTTTTTAAATAGTAAAGGATCTCTAATGTATGCTGGCCATTTGTTGTCTACTTCTACTTCACTATTCATTTTTTTTTTAATATATATATATTTGTCATTTATATTTGTTTCTATCATCATATGTATACCAATACATACATACATATACAGTTCTATACATATATACAGTGCTTAACAAATTGATTAGACCATCTGTCTTAAGGAGAAAACAAATATATTAGGAATCTGTCAAAAACTTTATTAGGCAAATAACAAACCGAAACAACTAAATAGTCTTTATTCAAACATAACTAAAATATTATATATTTTATTTTGTATGACCTCCTTTGGCTTTGATAAAAGCTTGCATTCTTGCTGGCATTGTTTTTATGTACTAAATTATATTTTAGCATTAGAAACACTACTGTGACAGTGACTAAAGAGCTTACACATACTGATGATTTTGGTAATCACCAATACTGTTAGTTTAAGGCAGCTGTGGCACAAGCCTTACGTTGGGTGATGGTCTTAAAAACATGTTAAGCACTGTATATATTCAACAGAATGCACTACAATACACAGAAAATACGGCATTTTGAAATAATTCTCAGCTGAATTTCTTTCACAAATTTGCATTTGTGTATAGATGTAAGCATACAATACGTACAGCTCGACGTCGCTGAGGACTTGTCTGTCCACTTACCCAAATAACTAATTTGAGGAGAGAAATATAAATGATATTTAAGTACAGACATAAGGGAAAGCATGATATGTAAAAATCTGACATATTCTCATGACGATAATATCATCAGAGTTTGCATAGACAGCATCTCATAATGTGTTTGTAACCCAAACCAATGCTCACGACAATTCTTCAGGACACTTCACCATCAACAAATGCAAAAACAACACTTGTTGTTTGTTTGACAACGACTTAAAAAGACCATTTTTACCTGAGTTGTGTGATCTCCCCTTGACTCTCTAATCTCGAGTTTACCAACGAGCACAGTAAAAACAAATCAGCAGTCGCTGCTACTGTAGTGGTGCACATTTTACAGCGCCCTCTAGAGTCGGGATGAATTATTATACACAACGCAGAATTATATTTAAACATTAGGGTTTTAGAGATATCGTAAAGTTGTGTATAGCCTATATTAGCTCATAAACATTACTATTTTTTTTTCAGAATGCGTTGGGCACTATGTGTGCTATCTATGCCGTTCTAGTGGTATTCTGCACACATTTATATAAGAGTAAACCCCCGCCCAGTCAAACTCACTTGTTTCTCTGGATTGGTGGCTGGCGTTGGACGTCTGGGGGCCAGCGGCTTTAAAGCATGTGAGCGCCTCCTCCTGTCAAAACTCTCACAGTGGGTCGGAATAACCACAAGAGAACGGAGATTTCTGCATCCATCTTCATCAACATGACATGCTTTATTTGCATTTTTGTCTTTTGTTTGTCAGCATTTTTAATGGAGGCGCAGGGTACGTATGGCCCTTACGTACGGAACCATAACCAGCTGTACGCGGACCGGCAGAGATCTCACTTCACCCCCAATATGCCTGGACACGGAAACTCCATCAACTTTGGAGGTAATCTTTTTTTTTCTTTCTGTTATTTATAACTTTTGTTATTATTATTATTATTATTACTATTGCATTTTATTAAAGTCATGTGAAATCAACACTTGTAATTCTTTTCAAGCATTGATTTAAATTAATATTTAAAATATGTTAATACTGAGTATTATTTAAAAAAAACTACTGAGTGAAATTAGTATTTAAGAAACAGATTTTTTTTTTTTTCAAATTTGAAATGGCGTTAGTGCTCTTCTGGAACAAAAAGTAACCTGCTATATTCCCGTGAAATGATGTAATCTACACACATCTGGAATTACTATTTTACAGTAGGCCTTTTAGCTGCCCCCCCCCTCAACTATAGTGCATAATGACGGATCAGAGACCTTTTAAAACCTTGGTGGTTCTATTGAGTACTGCATTACAGGAGTTATTAAAATATAAAAGCGTTGTTTTTGTCGTTCATTGAAATCTTATTTGTTTATTTATTTAAGGGGTCATATGATGCGATTTCAAGTTTTCCTTTCTCTTTGGGGTGTTACAAGCTGATTGTGCATAGATAAGATCCCTGAAGTTGCAAAGACTAAAGTCTCAAAACCAAAGAGATATTCACCTACAATAATGTACAGTATTTGAAAAATAATGTTTTTTGAACATTAAAGCATGTCAACATATTCTGTTACACCAAATACACAAAATAATGAGCTTTAAAAAAGCATCATATGACCCCTTTAACATTCTTTAAATGATATTCGCAAAATGAAGGGTCTACATGATTTGTGAGCTTTAAAACATATCTTTCAAAATTGTACTACAATTAATCTTTTTTCTTCAGTGTCTGACTCATATCTTTCAACTGAAATTGTTAATCTAGTAATGTTATATACTTCGGTCCCTTAAAGAATGAATGATTTTGTTTGAGAAGTGGATCTGGTGCTATAACATGTTTCTCCTTCAGGTTGACATGTTAAATGTTGCAGTCATTTACAGAGAACTTCTGATCAGGCCACTGACTTTGCCTCACTGCTTGAAAATGGAGACATTTAGCTCATGCTTTTGCTAACAACCAAAGAGTGTCATCACAAACCCACATCAATATCATATTGCTTTAAACCAATAGAGTATTGGCTTACTTTAATGCTTCTCTCCCCCTTTTCTTGTTCTAAATCTCCTTTTCATGCTCCCACCTTTGTCTTTCTCAATTTTTTTTTCTTTTCGTCTGTCTATGGATTCTTGACATTTTTTCCTCTCTCTCCTTCTATGTATTTCTATGTATCTGTTTACCTCCTCTCTCTTTCTCTCTCTCTCTCTATAACCAAACAAAGCTCAGGGCTTTAATCACAGGTTTTACAGCTATCATCATCGCAACCCTCATCATCACCAGCGGCCACCCTGGAAGGGGCCTCCTTTTATCTACCACCGTCCTGCCTTACCTGTCCGGCCCATCTCACCTGTCCATCCTGTCCGGTCAGTTGTGCCCACACCTCCCAGAATGCCAGTGGTGTTACCTGTCCCTACAGTGCCCATCCCAGTCACCAAGGTAGCCACCCAACCCCCGCCACCTCCAACACAGACTACAGCCACTACAACCACGACAACCACTTCAGAGCCGGTCAGTACCCCTCATGGCACAACTGCCCCTGCCGAACCCTCCACTGACCCAGGTAGACCAATCCCACCCCACCGGGTGCAGACGACCAGTCTGGTCCTATTCAATCCCTGTTAATAATAATCTTTCTTCTCTTTCTCTGTCTCTTTTTAAAGGAGAATTCACAAAAAAAAAAACCTGAATGGTCATTTATCCACCTTTTTCTTGTTGTAAAAATGGGCGCGGCCATTTGTAAATTCTATGGGTCTGGCTTCTGGTCTCATCTGCATCCACTCCGTCCAGCTATTTTTAGCTGAACAAAACAGTTTGTTTTGCTGCTTGATATTGAAAATTGGTGTGTCTTAACATATTATTTTAATGTATTATCTTAATTATGAACACACTGGTTTGTAGTGCAAGCAGTTTAACCGTTTACTGCACGTTGTTATTCTCCTCTTTTTTTTACCTATAGTGGCTAATAAACCGGAAGTCTCACCCATAGGCTTACTTCCGCGTTGAAGAAAAAGGTGGATAGGGGTGTAACGATATACTCATGTCATGATTCGGTTTGATACACATTACTGATCTCACAATACTTGTAGTATCACGATCAGTCAAAATGGGATGTTTTTTAATTATTACTTTGAAGACGTATGATAAACAGCAAATAGTTCATCCAAAAATAAAGATTTGCTACAAATGTACTCATCCTCAGGCCCCTAGTCATATAACATTAAAGGGGTCATATGATGCGATTTCAAGTTTTCCTTTCTCTTTGGAGTGTTACAAGCTGATTGTGCATAGATAAGATCCCTGAAGTTGCAAAGACTAAAGTCTCAGAACCAAAGAGATATTCTTTATCAAAGTTAAGACTCTGCCACACCCCCCCTAAAACGGCATAGTTCGTTTTGCTGCTTGATATTGAAAGTTGGTGTGTCTTGTCTTATATTATTTTAATGTTTTATCTTAATTATGAACACACTGGTTTGTAGTGCATGTGTTTTACCGTTTACTGCACGTTGTTATTCTCCTCGTTATTTACCTATAGCGGTTAATGAATCGGAAGTCTCACCCATAGGCTTACTTCCGCGTTGAAGAAAAAGGTGGATAGGGGTGTAACGATATACTCATGTCATGATTCGGTTTGATACACATTACTGATCTCACAATACTTGTAGTATCACGATCAGTCAAAATGGGATGTTTTTTAATTATTACTTTGAAGACGTATGATAAACAGCAAATAGTTCATCCAAAAATAAAGATTTGCTACAAATGTACTCATCCTCAGGCCCCTAGTCATATAACATTAAAGGGGTCATATGATGCGATTTCAAGTTTTCCTTTCTCTTTGGTCTGTCTGTTTACATTTATTTTGAAAGATGAAGCTCGCGATTATGGTAAGGGGCGTTACATTTCCGACGAGTGCTTGCGGTGTTCGGCCAATCACAATGCACTGGGTCAGCTGGCCAATCAGAGCAGACTGCGCTTGTCGGAAGGAGGGACTTTGTAGAAAACGAAGCGTTTGAGAGAGGCGGGGCATAGAGGACCTACAACAATGTACAGTATTTGAAAAATAATGTGTTTTTTGAACATTAAAGCATGTCAACATATTCTGTTACACCAAATACACAAAATAATGATCTTTAAAAAAGCATCATATGACCCCTTTAAACAAGCAAGACAAATACATTAATGAGGCCATTTTTGCTAATGCAAAGCTTATTGTCTACAGAAATGCAATTTGAACTTTGTTTAGCACAAATGGGATTAACTGACTCAGTTTCTTTCCATTTTCTTCAGTCACAGTGCTGCATTGCTAATCGAGGAGCCTCTCTTTTCATAAACAAACACTTTTTTTTTTTTTGTTACATATTATTCTCTTTCAGCATCACGCTTTGCACTTTTTAATAATTTTAATGATAATGTGACACTAATTTTCAATGAATTATTTCTCTCTTACAGCTCCAGTAGAGCTCTGCAAGAGCCGTCCTCTAGATCTGGTTTTCATCATTGACAGCTCTCGTAGCGTCCGCCCTGCAGAGTTTGAAAAAGTCAAAATCTTCCTCTCTGAAATGGTTGACTCTCTTGATATCGGATCCGATGCCACACGAGTCGCCCTGGTCAACTACGCCAGCACCGTCAACATTGAGTTCCTTCTGAAAAAGTACTTTAGTAAGGCCGAGGTCAAGCAAGCCTTCTCCCGTATTGATCCCCTCTCAACGGGAACCATGACTGGCCTGGCCATAAAAACCACCATGGAACAGGTTTTTACAGAGAATGCTGGGGCCCGGCCACTAAAAAAGAAGATTGGTAAGGTGGCCATCATTGTGACTGATGGACGGCCGCAAGATAAAGTTGAAGAGGTGGCAGCAGCTGCAAGGGCTTCTGGGATTGAAATATATGCTGTCGGAGTGGACAGAGCAGATATGCGGTCTCTCAAATTGATGGCCAGTCAGCCTCTTGATGACCATGTGTTCTATGTGGAGACATACGGTGTGATCGAGAAACTCACATCCAAGTTCAGGGAGACACTCTGTGGTAAGAGAATAAAGATCCTATTTTGTTGAGAAAAACAGTTTAGAATCAATTGGATCACATTTTAATTTAATCTAGAATCATAAGGCAATCAAAATTAAAATGTATATTATAAAATATATTTTTATATAAATATGTATAATTATTATAAAATTATTTATATTATTTTAAAACATACATATACATATATATATATATATAATTTGAAATCACATTATATATTATTATATATAATTTGAAATTACATTAAATGAATGCATCAATGACTGATCAATAATATTTAGTTATTCTAGTGTTCTAATAATTATTTTCTAAAATAACAGTATTTTATATAGAATATTTCTTTTTTGTGGTTTTGGTTGATCAGTAGTGAAATGATTTTTGCTCATTCAACTGATTTTGCAGGTTTCGATGCTTGTGCATTTGGGCACAGCTGCGAACATATTTGTGTCAACAACAACGCCTCTTATTTCTGCAAGTGCAGAGAGGGATATGTTATCAACTCTGACAAGAAAACGTGCTCTAAGCAGGCCAATGGTTTGTCATAAAAATATGCATCAAATCATTTGAAAAATTTGATGCATATCATAAAGAATATTATTTGATGCATTCTAAAGAAATGCATTCAGAAACTTTTGTGCACAGAAATTATTTTGGGCTCAAACTAATTGCCATACAAATACGCCACTGAAATCAGACATTATATCTGAATTATAAATCTTTTAAATAAGTATGTGTTTAATAAGATAAAATGTGTGCTCTGGAATGTTTATGTTGAGAGTTTGTTTTTAAAATTGTCAGTGATAATATTTACAATGTATAAATGAAGGAGTGAAGGAAAGATTTTCAGCATTTTAAGTATACAGTAAAACATGTCTGCTTCTTTTACAGAAGAGGCAAGAGGAGATCTGACTGAGAATGCCTGCATGTGTGAAGCTCAGATCGCATTTCAGAGGAAGGTTCACAACAGCATACAGACGCTTACCAGCAGACATATCCTTTCAGATTAATACAGCATTTGTTTATCACCTATCCTGATTGAACAACTCTCTCAGTCTGATAAACGTTCCATGTCCTGAGAGAGTTTTTTTTTTAAACATTCACATAGCGGACAGGGTTTATGATGTCTTTTAATAGTCATATTGGTTTCTGTCCAAAGCTGGTGTTAATCAGGAAACCGATCCTATAATGGTCTTGATGATCATGACGTGTGATACGTTTTTCTTAACTGTTCTTACTGGATGACATCTCACACAGAGTGCAGCAGTTTGATCTCCATCGCGCCTAGAGTGGAGGATGGGACTCTAAACGGCTTGTTCTAAAAAACAAACAAACAAAGGATTTAATCTCTCATTAGCTGCCTACAATGTATCCCATGCATTCCACATTTTGTTTATTTAATCTGACTTCATATTGTGCTTATAATTATTTTAGATTTCATTATGTTCTGAGTATGATCTTTGAGTTATCATCATATACCAAATTAACTTTGTTGACACAAAGTGTTACATGTTTTTAAGTAAATTTCCTTTTATTTTGGGAAAAAAATTGTAAGTATAATAGTAATATGTAAAGTATACGCACATAATTTTATGTTGTTGTCTATTTAGAATACTTGTACACATATATGAACAAATAAATGAACAAATTATAACAAATAAAAATATTCTTTGATGTTATTTTCTGTTTTGTGTTATCTTTGCATTATATGATGGGTTAGCTAAAGACTATAGAATACCCTTGTAATGTCTTAAAGGGACTTTGCTATAATACAATACCATGGTGCTTGGTGTGACAGTGACTGAATCAGAATCAGAATCAGAATCAGAAGAGCTTTATTACCAAGTATGTTTACACACACAAGGAATTTGACTTGACGACAGGAGCTTCCAGTGTCTCTCAAGTGACTTCATGACCACAGATGTGAGAGCGACAGTTCTGTAATCGTTAAGTCCAGTGATTTTGGGCTTTATGGGGACCGGAATGATGGTGGAGCGTTTGAAGCAGCAGGGAACTTCACACAGCTCCAATGTAGACTGTAGAACTATTGCAAAAGTTTTTGCCTTAGTCTCTGTAACTAGCTAATGCATACTATTGAATAAATACCAAACTGCTGTTTAAATTGCTTTGAGATGGTGTTTAACATTGTCACAGTGCAGGAAATGGCAGCTTTCAATAATCTATTTCATGTCAGCTACCCATAATCATAATTATGCTTAAAATCCATTCAGATAATTGTATAATTAATTAGGAATTAATTAAAAATAATATTATCACAAACAATTTAGTTAAAGTGTACTATAAAGTAATGAGTGGAGCATGACTAAGAGAACTACAAATACCATGAACGCCTTAACCAAACATAATTTCCGGGTTTTGGTTACCTAGAAACCAAGCAAACCGCAGCGTACGTACATGCATGGAACATACACCGAAAATTCAAATGCCTTGAAGAACGGATTTATTAAACAGTTCATTTAAAAGAAGACAACGCTGAAATAAAAAAAAAGTAATCGGGACTAAAAAACTCCATTTAGCATCCCCCTAAAAAACGAGAAAATTGGTTCATAAACGCTAAGGCAGGCTAGCAACCTAAGCTAAAGCAAAGATGTTTATTTAAGTAAGTTTTTTTTAAGGCAAAAAACTCCATTTAGCATCCCCCTAAAAAACGAGAAAATTGGTTCATAAACGCTAAGGCAGGCTAGCAAGCTAAGCTAAAGCAAAGATGTTTATTTAAGTAAGTTTTTTTTAAGGCGCTTTTTTTTAATGATAATGACAGCTGTTTCTGTGTGTACGACTTGTTTATCAGGGCTGTTGGCTTTGTTGTGTGTCCTCAGATTGCGATTCCAAACAGTACGGTTTTAAAGTGTATGTCTTGGAACAAAGACCAGGGTTTCATCGCCTGTGGAGGAGAGGATGGGCTTTTAAAAGTTCTCAAACTTGAGACTTATACAGGTGTGAACCTGGAACTGCCAGTATTTCTGTAGTGTTTTCTGTGCCAATATATACAAAATATGAGCACCAATGTGAATTGTTTACTTCTATATATTCAGCATAGATGTTTGAATGAAGTTATCATCAGTCAACCAATAGTTAATTACATTTATTTTTCTTAGATGATGCCAAACTGAAAGGCTTGGCAGCTTCCAGCAACCTCTCCATGAATCAGACACTGGAGGGCCACAGCGGTAAGAAAGACAGAGGAGATGTGTGACATCAACTCAGAATCTGTGAATTTTGTGTTAGTCTTTGTGTGTATTGTGTGTTCTGACTCTGAGATTTTAATTTCGATATGCAGGTGCAGTGCAGGTTGTGACATGGAATGAACAATACCAGAAACTGACCACCAGTGACCAGAACGGGCTCATTATTGTCTGGATGCTTTACAAAGGTACACAGTCCCTTAACAAATCATATAGAAAATACTGTATATTTCATGAATATAGAACTCCAACCGTTTTTACGTGTGCATGCGCAACCTTGTGTGACACTTTTTGTGATTTTGTGTGTCAAACAGGTTCATAGTATGAAGAAATGATTAATAACAGGAATAAATCTGTGGCGAGGAGTATGAGCTGAAATGCTGATGGTCTGAAGATCTGCATTGTATATGAGGACGGTGCTGTGATTGTGGGCTCGGTGGATGGTGAGCACAGATATGGACTGTTTTTATTATAATTATCATTTATTATCGTATTTTTAAGTCAAAACACTACAAGCACAAACTTTTTTTCATCCACTGGTCAGATTTGTGATTTGAGTTTCATATAACATGTTTCAGACTAGTGGAAAGAAAACATCCAAAATACACTTAGCACAATACCAGAGTTTTGAGTTCAATCAGATGTGGCTGGGAGAGGGAGTTCACAGACACAAATAGCCGTTGACAAAACCCCGGAGGGTGATTTATTGTGACAGTTGCAAATGGTGAATCAAACAAGAGGTGAATACTATGGTGAAGGTGTGCTCAGTGCTGCAGGGCAGTCCTGTAGAGGGGTGGGTGAACGTGTGGGGAAGGCCGATCGTCAGCCACTGGTCTCTACAACAAACAAAGAGCACACAGTTAGTATCCTGCATAATCGGAGGCAAAACTCAACCTCCTTCCCATCGCTTCCGTTTATATATCCTCCTCTTAATGAGGTGCAGGTGCTGACGATCGGCTGACGATCGGCAGTCGCTCTCAGGTTTGAGGGCTATTTCCATGGCGATGCTGATTTGGCACTGGGTGACTCGCCACACAGATTTTAGTGCACTTTATTTATTTGTGTCTGTTGATTTCAATTACACTACATATTTAAAGGCCATTATCTCAAAATGAGTTTTTTTCTCCTGCACTGAGCCAGAAATCTCCACTTCAGTAGCACTCGCATACACTAGACTATATTCTGAATGTTTTTTTACAGAGGGGTTTGTTCATATGTTATTTGCCGGATAATATTATTTTTCTGATTCAGTATTTTCTGATTTATGGAATGATAAAAAGAAATATTCAAAATCTGCTCTGTTAAAACAACAGCAACAAATAAACTAACATGTCAACAAAACGAAACAAGAATTTTGAACCTGACTTGTCCAGTGTTCAGATTTCTGTTCTGGAAATGTGTACAAATTAGTGCATATTTAATTAGATAATTTATCATTTGCATATTATTAAACATAACATTTCAGAAAGCTTGTAATACAAAATTTGCAATTCTTAATGTAATCAATCAACTGGGGAAGTATGGTGATATCTATATATTTTTTTACCCTATTCACCTGGTGTGTTTTAATTTGTCTTTTTTTAGTATTTTATTATAGTATTAAATTATTTTAAAAAGCAGCAAATCCATCAAGATATAAATGTTTGTTGTTTTATTATATAGTTTTGACTTTTTATGCTTGCACATTTTATTTATTTGAATATAAATGTGTGTGTATTTTTTGGTTTTGTGATCTTGCAGGGAACAGGATCTGGGGTAAAGAACTGAAGGGGACCCAGTTGGCACATGTGGCCTGGTCTCCGGACAGTAAGATCCTGCTGTTTGGGATGGCCAGTGGAGAGATCCACATCTACGACAATCAGGGAAACTTCACTGTGAGTGCTGAGATGCTGGAAACACTCTCTGTCTTTAGTCAGCTACTTCTACTAGTTTTCCTCTGTGGATCCTGAGGAAGTTTTTCCATTTCTATCCAGTCAGTTTGTCTAGTACTGCTATTAAAAACACAAATTTGCTCTTATTGTGTGTGTTTATGCTCAGATGAAGATGACCATGAGTTGTTTGGTGAATGTAACGGGTGCCCTCAGTATAGCAGGTATTCACTGGTACCCCGGCACAGAGGGGTATCTGGAGCCAGACTGCCCCTGCCTAGCTGTTTGCTTTACTAACGGGCACTGCCAAGTGATGAGGCATGAGAGTGATGACAGTGAGTTTATGTGTTTCTTTATCTCTCTTTGTGCAGGCTGAGAGACATACATTCTAGTACAGATCTGAGTATGAGGGAGAAAAGAAAAGCGGAATAATTGATTGTTTGTGCATATGTGTGTAGGTCCTGTGATCATCAAGGCGGGTATGTGGCATGTGGCCAGTATCCAGTGGAATCTCTGGCAGTGTTCTAGCTATAGCAGGATCACTCAGAAACAGCGGAGCAGAGAAAGACATGAATGTTGTTCACTTCTACACACCGTTTGGAGAGGTGAGTACTGATCACACACATGTGCCATACAGACACACATTTTGAAAGTTCTACAAAGATAATAGATCCTGTCATACATAACTGTTCAAACGTTTAGGGTCGGTAAGACTTTTGTAATGTTTTTGAAAAAAGTTAAAAAAAAGGTGAAATATTATTACAAATATGAATATTTATGTTGTTTATTATTACAATTATTACAAATGTTTTCTATTTTAATTTATTTTACAATGTAATTTATTCCTGTGATGGCAAAGCTGAATTTTCAGAAGCCATTGCTTTAGCCTTCAGTGTCACATGATCCTTCAGAAATCATTTTAATATGTTGATTTGGTGCTCAAGAAACTTTTTTTTTTATTATTGTTAAAACAATTTCCACAATATTTTTTGTGGAAACTGAGATACCTTTTTTCAGGATTATTTGATGGCTAGAAAGTTCAAAAGAACAGCATTTATTTGAAATATAAATATTTTGTAACATAATAAATGTAACATTATGAATTGAATTCATCCTTTAAGAATAAAAGTATCATTTCTTTTTAAAAAATTAAAAAAAAAAATGTAATCGTTCTTACCCCTAATTTTTTAATGACAATGTTCCTGCTGATGCACTCATGTCTGATGTCATCATGTGTCTAGCATTTGCGGACTCTGAAGGTTCCGGGGAAGCAGATGACTGCTGTATCATGGGAAGGAGGAGGACTCTGAATCGGCCTGGCTGTAGATTCCTACATTTACTTTGCTAACATT